CTAACATGTGGGGCTGACTGAGTTGCAAAGAGAACAACTGGTGATACTGGGAAACCTCCTTACCTCTGGATGTCTAATCGGGGCGGGGCAAAAGGAGAACATGGTTTTGGCATTCCGGGTCAGAGAGCGGGCTTCATTTGGATGGCACACCACTCTTTTTTTTTTTTCCAGGATGTCACGTGGTAGGCCATCATTTTACTGAAATTATATTCTTAACAAAAAAGGGTTTTTTTATAGGTAACAAAATTGTGCTGCATAATCTCCCAGATGTTTATAGCACATGCAAGAACTTGTATCTTATCTCTAGTATCACCTATAATCTCATTTTAATGGAAACATTTTGCAGCAAAGTACAATTTTATGAATACTTCTACCAAAACTGATCTAATACTGTCAAATTCTGAACACATTTACTTCTTGTCAAACCTGTTATTTGCCGTACTATAAACCAAGACAAATAAAATTCACATCCTCTTGAGCCTTCTACAACTTACAATATACCCCCCAAGTTAGGCTTTTATCTTTTTTTTTTTCCACATTTTGGCACAGCCAGACATTTTTACTTGAAGACAAAACACTTTTTTTGTCCCTCTTTTTACTATTACCAGTCAATTACCTTTCCTCTCGCTCCTCAGACAACATCAAAACTCTTAACAAAACCCTTGAAGTCACCTTTTAGTAGTCTAAAACATACTTAATTACTTTATGTCTTTTTACCACATAAAAATTCTGTATTTTTAAAAACAAAACTGTAACCTTTTAACTGGCTCAAATATAGTACAACCTGGTTTTTACTTGGTAAAGTTGATATGATTCTTACAAACCATAAATATACATGTATATGTGCACATATGTTTACATTTTAACCAGAAAGAAAAATACTCCTTTTAAAAGGCATGCCGAGATTGCAAGCAATCAATTGAAGACCTACATATCAAACAAGGCGCCACAACATTAAAGACACAAACAAAGGGTGCTTCGTGCATAGTTTGGTGAGCTAAAGGAAATAATTCTTATTATGAACCTTGAATCTAATAAGCCATATGGATCCTGCAACAGAAATGGGCAACAAGCCCATAAGTTAGCAACAAATTTAAACAGGCAAACAATTCTAAAGTACAAAAACTCTGAACATAAGTATCTAAATCCCTTAGTCCGTTTTGGGCTCGTAGAAGGGGTTCCTAGGAGAGAATTTCTGTTAGATTTGGGGTAACCAAAAGGAGAACAATTAGAACAAATGGACACACAAACAGACATATAAGACAAGACAAGCTGCAGCAACTCAAAAATCAGTCAAATTTTGGGATCTGGAGGAATTAACAAATTAACCAACAGAGCGGTTCCCCACCTGGGGCAGAGTCACAAATGGCAAAAACCAATTGACTCTGCCCTCGGGAGGTTTTACTCCCCAAATTAAGGGCATCCCCTTCCTAATGCAGTGGTTCCCCACCTGGGGCAGAGTCTCAGATGGATGGAATTTGTCCAAAAAACCAAATGACTCTGTCCTCGGGGGGTTCCCACTGCCAAAGAAATTAAAATTTGGGAAGCAAAGGCTTTATTTCCAGGCCTGGTGACACAGTCTCTCTAGGGTCAACCCAAAGACTGGGCACCTGACAGCTAAAAGTCAGGGCTTTTATCTTGTAAATCCACAAACAGCTGCTGGTCACACAATGTAAGGAAGGGGATGGGGGTGTGATGCACTACAAAGAAGAAACAGCAATTAACAACCTTAGTTACCTTACTTTAGCACCTTTTACAACTGTTATTTGTAGAGGGCAACAATGGTTAACGTATCAATTAGGTAAGATTTTACAATTCTTTACACAGGAGAGCATTGCTTAACATATCAATCCTTTACTCAGAGGGAAAGGAACACACAGGTATTGTTATGATACAAACGAAGCTATTACAATCAAATGCAATTAACACAAATTGTGACTGACTACCCGGTAGAGAAGGGGGGTTGTCAGGAGCTATTACCTCAGGCCTTTGTTTTATGGCCTTTTAGGAAGTTAAAACTTAACCTAGTTAGATTTGAAGGGGGAAGAGGAGGGAAAGCCTCAGGCAGGCTTATACAGAACAGGCTTTACAGCGTGATAGTTAGGGGGCCTTAGGTTATTACAGTTCCCTTACTTTCGACCATTGGTCTAGAGTAAGGGAAAGAGGGGTCGAGACACTTTGTCCCATGACAAAAGAGACCAGGACAAAGACTGAGACAACAGACAACACTAATAAGACAAAACACACCACACGTTCTGGCCGGCCACACTCACACGAGATCGGTGAATCCACTGCCAATGAGGGGGGAAAGAGACCCCTCCTAACAAACTGGGAGTCCGAGAGACAAATGGACTCTCAAGAGAATCTTTTTGGGGTGTCCCCCAAAGAAACTGCCTTATATTAGGATCGCGAGGTATGGGTCAGAAGCGATCTGGGGCAGTTAAGACAAACGATTGATCACAAAAATGAAACTAAAAGGAATGGCCGTACTTATCCCGAGAGACACTTTGTGGCCGTTGGGGCCTCCCTCGGCAAGCGGGGGGGACAGATCTCGCTGGGGCCTCCAAATGTAAGATCACTGTCGTGAAGAAAGCCCCAAGGAGCCAGCTCTCATGAAAAATCAAGGGGTTTTATTGTCCGCATGTGCAAGGGACCCTCCGACCGCACTCTGGTGGGGAGAGGGGAGTGAGAGAGTGCCCAGGTAGGGAAGTGCAGAGTATATAAAGCTGAAAAACGCAAAGCAAGCATTAGTTACAGAAGCAGATGGCTTGATGTTTTTGAAAACTCATAGCTGTCTGGCAGGGTTTATAGTTTATGGTGTTCTTATTTTTGGGGACCTTGGACCACAACTTCCCTATCAGGCCAGAACATCTGGTTGTTTTGACCATGTGACAAGGCAAGAGGGGTTTCATGAATGTTTTAACTCTTCAGAATGCTTTCTGGCTTTCTTTATTTGAGAATATGTTTTTGTTCTTCAGTTTTGAGGTATATTTTCGCCAAGTACAGCATTCTCTGTTGACACATAATTTCCAGTACTTTAGAAATGTCAAGACATTGATTTCAGACCTTAATATTTTCTATTACAGACTTAGCTGTTATTTTTACTGTTCTCTTGAAAGAAAAGTTTTGTCCCTTTGTTTTAAAGGATTTTTTTTTAATCTTTGGTTTTTAGTAGAGCCTAAATGTGTTTTCTTTTATAGATACACTTTAGAGGTTTGCAGAAATTTTTAATCTCTGAATTGATATTGTCAATCGATTTTTAGAAAGCTTTGTTTTCTTGTGTCATTACCTCCATTCACTCTCTTTACCAAAACATACGTTGTCTCATTTGACTCTACACAATACATTTTTATTCTGTTTTCTTTGCTATTCTGTTTTATATATTTTGTCTAAATTTCAATGTGGCTATTTCTACATTAAAATTTCTTAAGTTTAATAAGTTTCCTGGTGAAATCACTTGATTCTGCAAACCACCCCAAGTCACTGAGTTTATAGTTTGGGAACAACATTTTCTAGTCATATTATTCTGAGTGTCTTTACATTGTTTCCCATTTCACTTATTTTTTCAGGAGTTCTTTTAAAATACTCAGAATAACTATTTTTAACAATCTTGATACTAGTTCTAATACCTATTTCTGAGCATCTGCTTTTACTAGATACTTATTTTCTCTTCATGATCATATTTTTCTCTTTTTCTTGTGTATTTTAAAATTTTCATTCAAAGCCAGAACTCTTTATGAAATAAATGTAATGACTAAAGTTTAGATAATCTATTCTCATCAACAAGAGTTTTTGCCCTTTCTAACCAATCAGAAATTAAATTAAACTGTGTACACATCATTTGGGTCAGTCCTTGCCCGGTTTCAGAATTTCAAAGAGAAGACTACGTACTTTGAGTGTTTGTGTGTTATGTTTACGTATACAAAATAAAGAATTTAGTAGAACTCTCCTATATCCCCAAAACTGAATTTGTTTGTTTTTCTGAAGTTTGGGCTTCTGCTCTTTAAGTTTTACTCTGAGTCACTTTCAAATATAGCAATTGTCTGATGATGATGCAGTGGAGTACTTGAAACAATCCCTTCATTATATATATATATATTTTTTTTTTTTTTTCCTGAGACCATGGAAAATTTCACATTACTTTTAAGAAACACTTGAAACTCCAGGAAAGCACTCTCATTGTGCACAACTTCAGAATTTATTAAGCTGTACACAGTCTCCTGAAGTTTTTGTGATTCTTCCTTTGTACATTTTTTTTCCCTCATTTTACATGAATCTTGGTCATCAATTCATATCGAGAGTTAACAAAATTAACCAAGTAAGAATAAGGACAGATACCTGTGTTTGCCTGAAACAAGCCCTTCCCACTTAGGTTTAGCTCAGTTAATCTTTACCTCCCAGTTTGCTCTTAAACACACACACACACACTCACGCACACAGAATTTGTTGGTTTTATTCCAAAATATAATAGGAATATTGTTCAGCTCCATTCCATCTTACTCTGTTTGAATGTTTCCATATAATTTATGTTATCCCACTGTGGTTTATCTTACTGAGTAAAATGTTTTTATAATTTATATTGTACATTTTAAATTATTTTTAATATCCGAGTTTCCTGCTGTAATGAAAACAATTTAAAGAGAGATACTTTGCTTTATTCATGATTTTTCCTCCAAGTTTGTAAAAGAGCTTACTTAATTAGAGAGTGATTGAATGGTGTGCACCAGTTATGAATAACAAAGTTATCTCAAGGTTGTGAGTTCAATCCTCAGTACCAAAAAAAAAAAAAAAAAAAAAAACAAAGTATATCCAATAATCTGAAATTTTATTTAGATTCATTTTATCATGGATATTCTTACAGAATTATATGGATTAGTTTTTCACAAGATAATGTGTACACATATTAAGAATATACTTAGATGAAACTTTAACTGTATAGATACCTTTAAAACAAAGTAAATAGACACAACAGGCACTTATTTTGCTTTTGTTATTTGTAGATTGTAAAGGACCTCCCCCAAGACCCAGTATAGAAATGCTTTCGGGTTCCTGGCCTGACAAAATATATCCAGAACGCACTGAGGCCATATACAAATGCCGCCCTGGGTACATAACTCTTGGAACTATCATTAGGGCATGCAAGAATGGAGAGTGGGTGTCTCTTAATCCAAACAGGATATGTCGGAGTAAGTACTGCGCACATTTGTGAAAATTACAGAACTTTTACCAGGAGGTTTTTTTAAACTACAATCAGTGTGTCTTTACTGTTTCTTTCACTTCCACAATGTTTTAAAATTAAGTTTACTGGTACAATGTTGATGTACAGAATGATTATACTTATTGTAAGGAATTTGTACTGATATATGATGTATCCTGTTTCCTCTTTTTCTCGCAATCCCTTTCCCCTCCCTTTAACCCCTCCTCCTCTTGTTATTTACAAAGCTTTGTTTCCATTTTATCCATCATTTATTATTTTGTTTTTCCTTTTCCTTTCGTTCCTTTTTCCCTTCTCCTCCTTAGTTTCTCTTTCCTTTTGAACAATTTCACAATACCTATTGTACATTTTGGTCCTTATTTACTGTTAATCACAACAGGGAGAAAATGTGATATTTACACATGTGTGTCAAATTTATTTCACTATAAGAGCATGGTCTCAAGTTTCATCCGTTTACCTAAAAATGTCTACAATTTGTTCTTCTTTATGGCTGAGTAGAACTCAGTTTTATAAAAAAAAAAAAAAAACAGAAAACAAAAAACCAAAACTATCTATTTTATCCATTCCTCTGACAGGCATTTGGTTTTCAAGATTTAGCTATTACAAATTGTGTTGCTATCAACATAGGTGCACATATATCACTGAGGTATGATATTTTTAATTCTTCTGGGAAGATACCCAGAAGAGAAATAGCTGGGTTAAATGGAATCTCTAATCCTACTTTTCTATGGCATCTCCAAAGTAGGGGTGGGGGTTGTACTCTCCCCAACAGGGCAGAAAGAACCAACATATTGAAAATAGTCATACTCCCCAAATTTTTGTAGAGTTAGTGCAATACCAATCCAAATACCATTATCATATCTCACAGAACTAGAGAAAACATTCCTTAAATTCATTTGGAATCCAAAGAGACCTAGAGTAACAAAAATAATTCTTGACAACAAAGGCAAGGCAGGGAGTGTCACAACCCCTGACTTGAAATTTACCACAGGGCTACTGAGATAAAAACAAGATGACACTGGCAAAAACATAACAAACAAACAAAAAATCAGACCTGAGGTTCAGTTAAACAGATTGGAAGATGTATAAAGAACTCCACATACACTTAACCCACCTTATTTTTGCAAAAGGGCGAAACACCTCCACATAGCTTCTTTAATAAATGCTGCTGGAAAAGTAAAATAAGGACAAAATGTACAATATATTGGGAAATGGGAACAAACTGTCAGAAAACAAAGATAAACTGGGATGGGGGAAAGGAAAAAAAGAAAAAAATACCAAGTAGTTATATTACTAGTTTTTCTTAGTTTATTGAAAAGAAAGGTTTGTGTTAATCTTTTTTAGAGAATTTTTATGCCCATATTTTGTACTCAGAGAAACTACTTTGAGGATAACAATATGTGTTAATTATTATTATTTTTATTTTGTTTTGTATTTTTCCATAATATAAAAATTTTAAACTAAATAAATATAAAACTGGCTTTCCATATGCCAAGGACTATAGCAAGACCAATGTCTATCACCATGTATTAAACTAAAATTGAAATGGATCAAAGATGTAATTATTAAAACAAAAACACTAAATCTGATGGAAAAGAGAATAGGCAGAACTCTTGAGGAGACAGGTATAGGCAAAAACCCAAATTGAAAAGGAAATAATACAAAGAATCAAATACTTTAGATAAAAACTTTTGTCAAGTGTATAGTATTTGACATTGTACTATTGGCTGAATTATATCATATTGTCTTCTAAAAACAAAACAGTTCACTATTATTTTAAAAGAGAGGCATACATCAAGAAAATAAAAAATAAAACTGCACAGACGCAATCAACTGTAAAATAGTTTTTGGCATATTCAATTTTTCTTGTAGTTAATGTTAACCTCTGACCTAATACCACCTATGTTTGTCCCTCAACTCCTACATAAAATGCTTACTTTGTATGACATACTAATCTTATTCATTTTTTTAGAAAAGCCCTGTGGACATCCTGGAGATACTCCCTTTGGTTCTTTTGAGCTTGCAGTAGGAGATCGGTTTGAATATGGTGCGAAGGTTATTTACACATGTGAGACAGGGTATGTGTCAATACAAAGGAGGTCAATAATGAAATAGTAAATAGAACTATACCTTGTTTTATTGTTAGGTGACTGTATTTTTCTGTAAGCATTTAAAAATGTAATACACAGGGAAAAATAAACTATGGAATGTAAATGATTATATTTAGATTTTCAGTGTTATCTCCTTAACATTGAAAATTAACAGAAGTCATAATTTCTCTGGTACAATATTGTTGTTCCATGCATATAAGCATTCATCCAACAATTGTTTACTATGTTCTGCTATTTTCAGAGTGTATGAGAATTTCATGTGTTAGAAACAATGAGAATCATAATAAAATTAAATTATATGGCAACTATCTTGGTAAAACTTTATAAAATTATCCAGGGATTTAGCTCAGGGGCGTAAGTTCCTGCTTGGCAAGTGCAAGGTCATGAGTTTGATCCCTGGCAATAAAAATTTAAAAATTAAAATTTAGAGGAAGCAAGCATTTTACTCACTTATTATATATGGTTCCATGGTATGAAAACTATTCTTATCACAGGGACCAAAATGCAACTCTTTCAGAATCATTGACTCTGTGCCTTCTAATCAACTATCGCGTGTTCATGATTGATTGCATCAAGATAGCTCCTCAGTGTACTTCTTTTCTATTATTCCTCTCCAGGTCAAAAACAGTATTTTGAAGTAAATTTCATACATGGCAAAGCCAGGATCATATCACTATAATTTTATACTACATAAATATAAATAGAATCAAGCTGGTACAAATGGAATCTTGTTACTCTTCATTATTTCTTTTTTTGTTTTGTCTTTTTCCTTTTTATCAGTACTGGGGATCAAATTCAAGACTGCCTGCTTGCAAAGCAGGCGCTTATGCCACTGAGCTAAATCCCCAGCCCCTTTTTCGTTATTTCTTGAGACAATAATATGTAGTAACTTAAAGACCAGAATTTGGAGTGAGCCTGCATTCCAAAACCTTAACATAACATGTCTTTACAAGTCATTGTTTCACTCCCACTTCCTCTCTTAAAAAACAGAGTTGTAACATGTGCATCATTATATCAGTAGCAGAAAATGATAAGACCTACAGCTGAAGCCTTTAGAAGAGATCCAGTGTTGCAAACACCTAACAAATATTAGATTTGGTCACATTTAGCCTCCCTTTGGTCACTGTTAAAGGGAGCTTTTCCAGTTTTTTCAAGCACATTTCCATCCCAACTTTCAGTCTTAATTGCTGAGCTTGTTACATACAACCAGATAGATTAAGAAGACATGGGCCATGGGGCTGGGGGTTTAGCTCAGCGGCATAAGTGCCTGTCTTGCAAGCAGGCAGTCGTGAGTTCGATCCCTGGTACCGATAAAAACGAAAAAGACCAAAAAAATTTTAAGGATCACCTTGACATGTCTAAGAGCAGATGTGGCTAAAACTCACAGGCATCTTCCTCTTGATTTCTTAAATTTTAGCAATTAATATTTATAATTTCATGAGGAAATTAGCTACACACTTGTCCTTAACTCTGGCTCTCTTTAATTTAATCTTTATAACCTTCATACACTATGAACTATGGGCAAACTCTGATGTAGTCCTACCATGAGAGTAATTGTATCTATGCTTGACTTGGAATTCCACAACAACTTTATCAGTTCTTTAGGTTATTTAAAATTTCATTGAGGGGACACTTTACCTACATGTGAAGATGTCTATCTCTTAACCCACCTGTAGAATCTGACAGTGGAACAGGACTGCTATAACCATAATTTTTGCCAATCAATTTTCCCGTTTGATCCATGGCCCCCATTCATTTTTCCTTTACTGACTACTATGCATTTAACAGAATATTTAGTATGGATGTCTCATTTTTGCTATCCTACAGTGAGGCAGTTTTGAGAAGACAATGGGAATTTTTTTTTTCTGGTATTCTGCTTGTCTGAGCTACAGAGGTGTGAACTATTTTCTTTCTCCAACTGCTAACATACAGACATAATCTCTTTTCTCCCTCCATGTACATGGCCCCTAAAAGGCTTTGTGTGGAATCTTGCAGAATATCCAAAAGTCCTTTGGGAATGGGTAGGTCTGATGTGGATGGAAAATGCTGATCAAGGATATATGCTCTCTCTATTACAACAGGGTAACTTCTTCCATTAAAAAGAACCAGAGAATTTTCTTAATAATCAATTATTTTTCTTCATAAAACATAGAGTTAAATGCTGGTTTCAAGTTCTGTGACTAAAATTTAGTCTACTGAAATGTCTTACCTTATCAAATTAAAAATAAATCAAGAACAATAAAAGAAAAATACTTTTGAAGGATATTTACTTGTGCAATAAACAGAACAACGTTTATTTGCAAATGAAATAAACAGTTGCCCGTGTAGAATTATTTGATGGACTTGCAGGCTTTTCAAAAAAAGAAGAAGAGGAAGGGAGAGCAGGAAGGAGGGAGGGAGAAGTAGAGAAATTATAAAAAGGGAGAAGAGAAAGAACATAAGAAAGTGTTAAAGAGGAAAAGGAAGGAGGGAAAGAGGAAAAGCTTTAAAAATAGATAAATATAGAGAGGGAAGAAGGGAGGGAGGGCAAAAAGGGAAGGAAGAAGGAAAACAAAAGAAGGTAGAAAAAAAGGAGGAAGTTATATATGCATTTAATTTTTCATGAAATGGAGTTTCTAAAAGACATTCAGAACAGCTGTGAAGTTTAAAACTGCAATATAAACACTATTTCACCGTGTGTTATTTTTACATTTTCAGCTATCAATTGGTAGGTGAGATTGACTTCCGGATCTGTGATGCAGATGGTTGGACCAATGAGATTCCTATATGTGAAGGTAGACGTAAAATTGATTGACAAGAATACCTATTATCTTTCAAGAAGTTTTATTTTAAAATATCTACAGAGTCTATAATTAAATATTTCTTATTCAAGTTATTTTTATGGTTTCTAATACAATACCTAGTCATTTGATTAATACATTGTCTTATACTTCAGTGTATCCAATGTGGGGGCTGGGAATACAGCTTGGCTGTAGAGTGATTGCCTAGCATGGGAAAAGTCTGGAGTGTCGTGCTTGGCACCACATCCAAGGCAGGGAAAATCTGTATCTGTATACCAAGCGTGAACATGAGACAGTCTCATCTAACAATCAAAGTTCTGGATGTTAGGGAATCTAAAGCTTTTTTGTTTCTTTCTTTACGGCTTCTGGATTCTAAAGATATACATAAACATGGTTAGTTTGAAGAAGTTCGGAATTTAGCTTTTTAAATGAAAGTCTCAACTGGTAATAACCCAAATGCACAAATGCAGGGGTTGTACACTAATTAAGGCATATGATTCCTTTATACGTTTGTGTGTGTGTGTGTGTGTGTGTGTGTGTGTGTGTGTGTATGTATGTTTTGCTTTGTTTTGTCTTTGTGTGTAGTCATAGTTTTACCAGAAAAAAAGGCAAGAATTAAGAGCACTCTGGTCTGCAAACACCAACACTGAAAAAAAGGTGGATCTTGTTTCCAAATTTTGGGTGGCTAATTTAAATCTTTAGTAATCATAAAAATAAAAAGTTCAGTCAGAATAGTACTTACTAGTTTTATGGTAAATAGTAACTGCAGAAAAAGATGAAATAAAAACAAAAACATGATAATCACATAATAATCCTATCAATTAGAAAAGAATAGGAGATTTTTCAAAGGTAGAAATGAGGTATTCTAGGAAATACCTACATCAAAATTACCCAGGAGGCTAACCAAATTCAGATTTTTGGTTACTAAAAAAGACCTATTGAATAAAGGTCTTCAGGAAGCAGGGAAACAGCCCTAGAATTTCCATCATAACAAGCATTCAGGTACTTTCTCTACTAACATAAAAGTTGAATATCATATTTGTAGAAATTTTGAAAATATCGAATAAAATCAAAAGAAGTATTTAAATTTTTTCCCAGCCCTCACACTGCATATATTGAAGTATAAGACAATATATTAATCAAATGACTAGGTATTGTATTAGAAACCAATTTAAATTATCTTGAACATTTATTTAGAAGATGAAATAAACGCTATTGTAAGTTGCTTTGAAATGTTTTTCAGAATTAGAATTTCTGTTCAGAGTTCAATGGCGAATTATTCTGGAGCATCAGTGAAAATTTTGTTTATTTCAAGATTCATCTGTTTTAATTTTTTGAGACATTTATAAATTTTAAATGTTGGAATTTTATTGCCTACTCTCGTTAAAACGAATTTAAGATAAAATGTACTAGTATTTTTGTTGCTTAACCTTTACATCTTGCAAACAGTCATATGAAATTCTTCTAAAATATTTCAGTAATTTCTTCCATCTTGTTGACATTTTTCAGGATAGATGTCCTGGTCAAATTTTCAAATTTTATTTGAAAAAATTATAATTACTTTTTCAGTTGTTAAGTGTTTGCCACCTACGGGACCAGAGAATGGGAGACTTATCAGTGCATTGGAACCTGATCAGGAGTATTACTTTGGACAAGTGGTACAATTTGAGTGTAATTCAGGCTTCAAGATAGAAGGACATAAGGAAATATATTGTTCAGAGAACGGTCTGTGGAATAATGAGAAGCCGAAGTGTGTGGGTAAGATATACCTCCTGTTTATTTATATACATACTCTCAGTTTTTCACTTGAAAATACACTCTTAAAAACAATGTCCTCTTCAAAGAACACAAATAATTCTAAAAACAGGTAATGTATATTATACATGCACTACTTCCCCTTAAATGATCTAAAGGTATTTTTACATGAGTCATCTTATTTTACCTTCAGGACAACTGTATGAATTCTGTACTTTTATGTTATTTTTTAATGGAAGAAACTATGGTGCAAAGTTAAATTACATGTCCTGGTTTACCACAACACAGTCAAGATTTAAACCTAGGTTGTTACTTAATATGGGTAACTCTTGCTCTTACCATAGCAATCTTATCCTTAGCTCTTACAGTATGAAACAGAATGTCCATTATTTCTATTGCTAATTATAGAATTACTCTCCAGAAGAGACTTTTTAAATTTTAAAAGTCAAAATTGATTCTTTATTTCTACCAATCCAATAATATGACATTCTATTTCTGGAAAACATTCCTAAGTAATGAACCTGTTCTATATTTATAATGCACATTTACTATACATATTTCTTAAATGAATTGAGTCCACTAAATAAATCTATGTTTTTTATAAAAGTTCTATAATAAACTGCAGTCCACAATTTCCTCACTATCTTTAGTCATGATGATGATTTGTGTGTCTTGAACAATTGATGATTTGAAGTTTTGGAATAAACATTACAATGTGTTTAATATTACCATGCTTTACTTTGCCAATTATTTTTGAGCTCAATTTTCTGTCATATTTGTTTTGGTAACATTATCTAAAATCTCTATATGATTCATGCTTTTTAAGTATAGTCTCCTTACAGAAATAAAAAAGAGTTCTCTTCCCAAGAACTTTCTAACAGACTAGTTCATTTTGATAATAATGATAAAGTAATAGTTATATTCATTGAAGCAAATATTATACAATTCACAGATTCATGGATGAAATTTACATGCTTTCCACTAGATTTTCATGGCTAGTGAAGCCTTGTTAGAATTACTAATATTTAAAATGTCTTTTACTGTTGTTGCTTTTGGTTTTTGTTTTTTTTTTTAAATTTCTTTGTGTTTTGCTTTTCTTTTGTTTGCTTTGCTTTGAAGCATGGTCTCACCATGTAGCACAAGTTGGCCATGAACTCAGAACAATTCTCTTTCCTTGGTCTCCCAAGAACTAGGATAGTAGGGACGAGTGAGATGTTTTCCAGATGAAGATGAGGAAAGTGAAAACATACTGTTCAGGGGGAGTGAAAAGGGAGGGACATGGAAAGACAGTCAGGCTTCAAGTCAGTTATCACTGCTACAATTCCAGAAAAAAATATTTGAGCAAAATATCAAAGATGATGGCCATCATCTTCTTGTTTTTGACAGAAAAGCTCAACAACAGAAAAATCAGTTACTTTTCTATATGTAATGAAAAATGCGTTAAATGAATTTCCTTGTCAAAGTGTTCTGTCAACAATTACTCTAATCCATTACTAGAAAATGTGCTACTTTTGCACGTCATTCCATGAAAATACTTACTAAAATAAACCTACAGCTACATTAAGCTTCACATACACAGGAGATGCCTGTGACTGACTGCCATTTATATCAGGACACTAATTTACCTTCAGATGACATGACATTAGAAACATAATTTAATAAGAATTTTAATTTTCTTTAGAAGATAAATGTTAAGAATACCAGATCAGTCATCAAGCAGTCAAGTCAAAACAGAAATTTAATTTGTTTGGCAGCTTTACCTGGTGGAAACAAAATGTCTGCTATAAGTTGGTCATGGTTCTTAAACTTATAGTAAAACTTTTATAAATTTTATTCTGTTCATTTAGCAATTTCCTGCAAAGCACCAGAAATTAGAAATGGATATCCTATTTCTCCGAAGACCATTTATAAAGAGAATGAACGGTTTCAATATAAATGTAACCAAGGTTTTGAATACAGTGTAAGAGGAGATGCTCTGTGCACTAATTCAGGATGGAGTCCAGAGCCTTTGTGTGAAGGTAATGTCATTTTTACTCTCTATTTCATTTGCTGTAAAGTTTATCAATTATTTTATTTCTTCTGAGGATCAATCCAGGACCTTGAGCTTTCTAAGCATGCACCCTATCACTGAGTTATACTCCTAGCCATGATTAATTAACATAATCCTTGTAATTGTGTAACGTATTTTTCTCAAAAATAGAATTTCAACTTTTACAAGAATGAACTATTGCAAGCTCAGTAATGTATATTACAGAACTTAAAATGTATAAGCTCCGTTTTGACCCTAATTACCTAAGACTTTTACTCTTTACGTTGAAATAACCCAAGTCCAAAAGCTTCAACATCTAATTCAGTAGATAGGTCCAATTACAAGACGTTTCTAGAGTAGATCCAGGACTATGATAGGTTTCTTAATTTCCAGTAATTTATAATTCTTAATTTGATTGCTGCTCTGAAGCTCGGAATTTAGCTTGTAAAAGTTAATTGCATTATTATCATATGAGAAAACCTTGCATGGGCAATGAAATTAAGGGGAGGAAGCAGACATTTTATTACTATAGACTACCTACCATAATGATGATGATGGTCTGAGCTTTCCTAGTTTTCATCTGAAAGCATGTTTTGCAGAACCAAACAGTTCATCTCAACTCTACTCTGCTCATGGAAAAATAATCTTCACCATCACGTTCTATTTAACTTATGTCATTTTAAAAGAAATAACTTCAAATTACCCTGATTTAGAAAAGAAAGATAGCTGAAGAGTTTAAGAAATTATAAAGCAGTAAGAAGATACAGCTATCACGTAGTAATGACATTCTTTAGTTATTTGCAAACATTTTGGAAGAGGAGTGAATTTGCATTTGATGAGGTCCACAGCAGTAAGTGAAATAAGGACCCATATTAGGACATAACATCTCGTGACATAAAGGTGTGCTGTTATAGCTCTTGTGTGCTGTTATAGATAATGATGTGCTGTCATAGATCTTGTGTGCTGTTATACATAACATGGGGGCAAGAAAAGCTGAACTCTTAAGAATCTTCTAAATTTTAAAATCACGTTACATACTTACACATGTAAATCATGATTTAGCTCATTCCTTTACAAAAGTAGAGTTAAATTTGAATTGATTTTACATGCTGTAAGCCTATACACAATTTCTTGGAAAATATCTTTCTTCACAATTGAGTGACCTTCTTTTTTAGCATTGTTTAAAAACACATCTTTGAGGTGCTCATGGTTCCTAAGGAGAGGAAATCTGTGCTTGAGTCACCCGGTATTTTGATCTACCATGTGTTAGTTCCACAGCTCCCCTTAGACAGCTGATAATTATTTCATCCATTCAAACATCAAAATACAGGGCCTTGTCTTGTATAATGGATGAATTTTGAGATGAACCATCATTCCAGCATTCAAATAATTCATAGTAAGACTTTTGGAAAAGTTTGGGTGATTTGGTATACCATAACTGCTTTATTGAAATCATCTAATAATTTTACTCCTTTTACTTGTTAATTTACCTACCCCCTTACAATTATTGTTCAATAAATATGTTTTCAACATAGAAAATATCTGGCTTTCCAGAAAGTATTACTACAGGTCCTAAGCTTCCTATGCTTGAACAGTCAGTTCATTCATATACCAAGACACACACACACACACACACACACACCTCAAAAACTTCACCTTTACAAAATACGTTGTTATTAGATTTTTTTCATTTCTCAGTCACACATATGAGTCAAATATTAAAAAGACTGAATTCTTTAAGATCTTTTTTTTTTTTGAGATGGAGGAAGTATAGAGTAGAGATGCCACAAAGAAGGCCTTGGTGCCAGGATAGTCTAATAAAATAATTTATTAAAGTTTAATATAAAAAGAGATTTACTCCAAATTGGATAAACATGTACCCTTTTTAATAATATGCTGCATTTATTGAAATGCACTTTACATTAACTAAGCATGGAGAAGTCTCTTGTTAAGAAGAGTACTCTATTTTCTATACTCAGCTGAGGTGTTACAAAAACTGGTTTTTGTTTTCTTTGTACAATGCAAGGATCAACCTGCTGATATAGAATGAACCTCAAATCTATACACCTTAATTTCTTAGGAATAATAAAGTTTAAAATTCTCTTTATTATATTTGAATTTATAAGAAGCTTGGAAATTGGTAATAAACTAGACCTTAAACACAGTATTCGAGGACAAAATAATTAACTTGTCTCCCATTTGGTCCATGGCATGCATATGTCAGGGTCTTATTTGAGTGAATTGTCAAAACTTTTGTCTCTGTATCCAGTAGAGGACAGTCTTGTGCCAGAAAGTCATTTTCAGCAATAATTAAAAGCAGCAATATGTGTTGAATAAAATTACTTATGATTGAAGTCTATCTATTCCTTACACAGACTATATTTTTATCATCTTACAACAAAGAATGCTAACCTTCCATAGTAATTCTTACTTCAAATGTTTCAAAGAGTAGGAAAAAAACTATTTGGATACTCTAGCATATTATTGCTTTTTGGATTATGTATTCTGTCAATGTTTTAATAGCATCATTTATTTTAAGGGAAATTATGAATGTGAGGCATTAAGCTTCATCAAGGGATTCATGTCTACAGGATGACAGTAATCTTCAAAAGTTCTTCATTCTTCAATAATTTAAGAAAATCATGCCAATAGTTGGAATTTTCATATTTGATTAGTCTCTTAACTTTCATTTTTTTGTATCTTGTTACTTTTGACTTTTAAAAATTGGTATTAAGCTATAACATAATAAAATCGAAAATAGCTAAACTTAACAACAAATGTTGTATGAAAATGTGATAGACATAACAAAGTAAGGTACATGACAAAAATACACTTAAGGCTCATTTGCAGCTATTGTCAAATAACATTAAACATTTAAGACATATTTTACTTAACACTTTTGTTTAGGTTGGTTGTGGTGGCACATATCTGTAATTCCAGAACTTGGAAGGCTTTGGAAGGCTGAGGCAGGAGGATTGCAGCAAGTTTGAGGCCAGCCTGTGCTACTTAGTAAGTTAAAGACCAGGCTGCACCACAAAATGTGACTGTTTCAAAAAAGAAAAAAGAAAGAAAAACAAAGAAAGAAAGAAAAGGAAGGAAGGAAGAAAGAAAGAAGAAAACTATTTTTAGGTGCTCACATTATTTATTATATATTTATTTCTTCTGTGAATGTCCTATGGTGTTAGCAATAGACACATACTAAAACTTATCTTGTCACAATGGACCATAAATTTAAGAGCAATAGAGAGACAGCTGCAATACTTCCAGGAGCTAAACATAAAAGTATTCAAATCAGGATACAAATTTGTGTCTGACTGAATGTGAGAGTGATGAAAAGGAAGGGATGTGAGTGGATTTTCTAGCCTTCTATGAAGATGCTCTTTCACAAATGAAAATACAAAACATAAAAAAGTAGAGCAAAGGATTATGTCTTAATTACTTTTTCTCATTGCTGAGACAAAATACATGTTTCCCAAAAAGAAGGAAGGAAAGATTTATTTAGCTTATGGCTTTTGGAGGTTTCAGTCCATAGCTAGCTTCAAGGCAGGGTGACTTCGCTAAAGGGCGGCCATTCATGGTGGCAGCAAGCAACAATAGCCAAAGGGCAAAAAGGAAGAGCACCCTCCTTCCCTCTCTTATATTATATGTGAGCTCCCTGCCCTTGGGCAGGTGCAGCACTCATACCGCCAATCCCAATGCTAGACAACAAACCAGTCACAAATGCTAGACTCAGCTCCCTTCAAAAGACCTGGCCCTATGGCTGCATGAAGTTTTGGGGGACTTTTAAACACAAACCATAATGGATGGTAATTTAGTTTGTCATGTAAGTAAATTAGATAGGCTTTTGCATTATACATATGAGCCTATTGAATGTGAAGTTGCACTTGGATATATAATTTGGATCTCATTGAATAAGTCACTAACATGATGAGCTAGCATTTAATCACTGAGATATCTTAAAAGTCACTAAGAGTGTGAAAGGAAAAAGAAATAATAAATCAAGGACTAATGCTAACATAAAATCAATTGCAAGACATAGATATGTATTTAAATAATATCTTTAAGGGTCTTCACAGAAGAATTTTCTGAAGTAGTTGTAAAACATCCATGTGAAGCTCTAGGGCAGAATTGTGTGAAACATATGGGATGGAAAGTGCAAATGGTAGGAATGAGCTTGGCATGTGTGAGTGCCAGACAGAAGCCAGATTGGTGGTAACATAAAGAGTAAATAGGAAATTGACAGGGAGATAAGATCTAGAAAATAAAGTGTAAAATTAGGGCCAAATTTTAAGAAGAGTAGAGAAATAAAAGGTTTGAAAGTTCTTGTCACTGAATGTGGAAGGCAAGTTTTCATTCAGAATGGATACAGCAAAAGTTGGAATACTGAAAAGAAATATAGATAACACACTTAGTCTCAATTTATTTGTGTGAATTCCAAGACTTATGAAAGTGCAATTGTGTTAGGTGACTTGGAGAAGTAAGGAGACAATGAATCATGTACATCATAACATGAAATGAGTACATGAGAAGGACATAATAGGACTTTAGGCAAAGATGACTGGCCACCACAGGTTTTTAAGCCAAAATCTAACATGGAAAGAATATTGACATTTATGTAACTTGTCTACATACTTAAAATGTATGACATTTTATAAGAAAGAAAACGTGAACTAATCCATTTTGAGATACACTAGAGTTGAAGAATAAGAAAAAGTTTATAAATTATGACAAACAATAGCAAAGTGTAGTTCACAGTCAAATCTAGACTACACGTTTTTTGTAAACAAAGATATATTTGTTCATATATTACTTGTGACTACTTTTGTGGTCTAAGGCAGTCCAAGGCAGACTAAAGTAGCTGCAGGAGATACCTTCTGATCCATTGCAAAGCTGATTGTCCCTGTCCTATATTAGTTTTTCATATTTGAGTAAAAAATTTCAATAGGTGAATGTCATAACAAAGTTTATGTCCTATGAATTCTCCATTCC